AAACCATTGACGAGCAAGTTGATGCGACCCTCGACAGACTTCTGGTCGAATTTGGCAATGAGATCTTGAAGATTGTTCCGGGCAAAGTCTCAACCGAAGTTGATGCTCGATTCTCCTTCGATACCCAGGCTTCAGTGGAAAAGGCTCGCCATATCATTGCAGTGAGTTCTCGAGCTTCCTCCTTCTAGACTTGGAGAATCTCACGACCCGCAGCTCTACAAATCAATCGGCATTGACAAGTCACGCGTCTTGATCAAGATTGCTTCTACCTGGGAGGGCATCAAGGCTGCGGAGATCCTCCAGAAGGAGGGCATCAACTGCAACTTGACTTTGATGTTCTCCTTGGTCCAGGCCGTTGCAGCCGCCGAAGCTGGTGCTTTCCTCATTTCCCCTTTCGTCGGCCGTATCCTCGATTGGTACAAGGCTGCTATGAAGAAGGACTTCCCTGCCAATGAGGACCCTGGTGTCAAGAGCGTGCAAGCCATCTTCAACTATTACAAGAAATACGGCTACAAGACCATCGTCATGGGTGCCTCATTCCGAAACGTTGGTGAGATCACCGAGCTCGCCGGCTGCGACTACTTGACCATCTCGCCCAACTTGCTTGAGCACTTGTACAACTCGACCGATCCGGTACCTCAGAAGCTCAAGGCCGAAGAAGCCAAGACCCTCGACATCCCAAAGCGCAGCTACATCAACGACGAGTCTTTGTTCCGCTTCGACTTCAACGAGGAGCAAATGGCAGTTGAGAAGTTGCGAGAAGGTATCAGTAAATTTGCGGCGGATGCAGTCACATTGAAGGGCATTCTGCGGGAGAAGCTCGAAAAGGCTTGAGCGAGACTGTGCAAATATTGTCGTTGATTGCTGAACTAGCCGTTATTGAACATTACGGGGCGGTGTCCGCGAATAATTTCCATCCACCGGCCTTTTTAGATTTGCGGATGGGGGTAAATTTCCAAGGTAAACGACAATGAAACACATATTGACAAGCACACTTCACCTTTATTGATGACAAGTTCCCTACCATTGATCCAGCGGCGCCCAAGCCTTACTGGTGATGTCCATTGAGTCTCGCGGTCTCAGTCGGCTCGGCACACTTTCTCGATGTGTACTCTGCCTCACTTTGCTTCGTCATTTGCACCGGCTGCAGTCGAGGTGACAAAACACTTCAACCAAAAATCATTTACAGGTGTCTTTTGTACTTTGGCGCCCTTGAGTGCGCATGGCCGCCTCGATGGCTTACACTACGCAGTTACGGTGACAGCAACATGCCTGCCCTTCACTGAAATCGGTCTTATTCCTATCCTCTCCTTCTCTCCATTCCGGTCGTCACCATGAAAACCATGCGGCCAGGGGAAGCCAATAAACGAGGGAATGTGGTGACTGCACGCATTGTCCCAATATTCCTCCTTGGGATCATTGGCTACTCATCATGGGTCCTCACGGATCTCGTGTGCCTCAAGTATCTCATCAACCCTCCACGGTCGTTGCTTGTCCGCCGTGAGACCGGTTCCGCGATCGCCATCCTCGTCATTTTCTACCTTCTCCTGCTTGGTGCGCTGACATGTTTTGGCCGCCTGATTCAGACGATTCTGACAAACCCGGGCCTCGTTCCACGTGGCGAACAGTACTGGAATGAAAAAGAACGAAAGCGGCGGAAAGAGAGAAGTGCCAGTCATAAGGAAGCGGCACTTGAATATGATTCAACGGAGGGGTATACCCCACGGCATCTCCGCCGACGGCAGGATAAGGAGCCTCAAGGCTTCCACGCGCAAGACTTCTGGCACAAGGATGTCTTCGTCTGCGGCTGGGACGGCCGCCCGCCATTCTGCTCAACATGCTACAATTACAAGCCTGATCGGGCCCACCACTGCCGCGAACTCGGCCGCTGCGTGTTAAAGATGGACCACTTCTGTCCCTGGGTCGGCGGAATCGTGTCTGAAACGTCGTTTAAATACTTCATACAGTTCACATTTTGGGCAGCTCTGTTTTGTCTTCACACACTCGTCGTCATGGCGTATTACTTCGCCAGACGCCGAAGCGAGGAGCCCGGAAATTTCATCAACGTGCATTGGATCCTAGTCTTGATCTTTGCGGGATTATTTTTCATCTTCGCCGCGGGCATGTGTGGGTCTAGCTTGCAGTTTGCGTTCCTTAATTCCACCACCATCGAGAATTTTACCCGCAGGACCAAAATATGGTATATGGCCGTATATTTACCACCGAGGGTCCTGGAGAACTACCAAAAATCGAACAGGACAGATCTCAGATTGATCACGTACCCTCGCCCTCCCGAGGAGCAGTTTCAAATTCTCAAGCAGCATGGTGCAGATATGGGGAATGACAGTGAGCAGAATGTTGCGGTACAGATCAGGGATTCAAATGCACCAATGCCAACGCCGCGACAAAACACGTATGATCCGCGATCAACCGTGACATCAAATCCTAATCCCGCCATGCCACCGCAAGGGACAGCAAACACACCTCCAGCCGCATCAGATTCGCAGCCGACCATTTCCACACCCACAGTTCCTTCAAAAGTGGAGACACGTGCATTCGCCATCCTCGAATCCCCTCCTGGTGGTAATCCTTTTGACATTGGTGCCATGGGAAACTTCAGAGAAGTCATGGGCTATACAGTGTTTGATTGGGTTTTCCCGCTGAGACCGAGTCCCCTTGTTGATCACAGTGATCCAGTGAGTATGTATAAACTGGGACCAGTGTTAGAGGGGATGAAGAGAGATGCGGGGATAGAGGATGGAGTGGATGGTGCAGATGTGGCCGGCGAAAAGCGGAAAAAGAAGATAAGAGGAACTGAGGGTGAAAGTCGGCAAGAGCGTAGAACGAATATGAGACGTGGACGTTCACACTCGGCCGCGGATGGAAACTCTCGGTCCAAGCATTGAGAAGATGGTTTCAACATGGTTTGGAGACGGCGGGGGTTTTCCCTTTTGATTCTCGTGTTACGAGACTTCGGCCACGAGAAGTTCGTGGTGCGTCTTCGTTCCCTTGACACAATGAGATGAGAACGCCACCAACGGCGGCTGAAGTCCATGCTCCGGACTCGGTTGACAATCCGATCTCGCCCTTCCGGGGAAAGTCAAGCTTCCTTTCTTGTACCGCCGGGTCGAGGCTCTGAATTTCAATCTGCCAATTGAGAGATGAGAGTTCACCTGGCATCAATCTGAGGGCTTTGGAACTTACTTCAACCAAGGCCATCTTCCCTCGCCGATGCCTCCAGAAAGTGGGGGCATTGGTTTTGATGCGCAGCATGAGGTTTTGTTTTTGACATTTCATTTGCTACGTTCTGATACAATGCGTTGCAACGACATGGGACTTCGTGATGGACATGTCGACACGCACCCCACACGTCCAAGAGAGACGCCGATCGCATTGATGGTTCTTTCAGGGGGAGCGTTGGCGTTCAAGGGAGACGTATATACATATCTAGGCCATGTCGAACGGCCTGCATACGGACTACACGGGAAACTGTTTTGCCCCTTTGGAAAACCGGGGTATGTGATTGTTTAAGTCGCTGTACAAGATTTTGCAAGGTCTTTGAATGAAAGCTGGAAAATGAGGGTTAGAAGGAATTTTCAAAGGGTCATGATGACGGTGAGGTGTCGATCGACACATGTACGTAGCGCTCTGAATGTACACGATCACTTGTGTTGGTTTAAATGTAGGAACAAGGCTTGTCTACTAAGGGGATGAAAATTTTTTTTTCTTTTCTTTTCTTTTCTTTTCTTTTCTTTTCTTTTCTTTTCTTTTCTTTTCTTTTCTTTTTTTTAATAATTCCATTCATCCATCTATTCAGCGCCTAAATAGAGAGAGAGAGAGAGAGAGAGAGAGAGAGAGAGAGAGAGAGAGAGAGAGAGCTACACTGTGCTTTCTTGCGTATTTGGTATATAGATAGATACGTAGATAGGAGGGATAGAGGGGACAGAGAAAAGAGGGATCTGACAGATATAGTAGTTACAGTGGGTTGCAATTGATTTGAATATAACCAGGAGACAAAACTCCGTATTAGGTGTATTCAAATTCTTTGCCCCCCACTGTAGTTAAAGAGTTAATCTCCAGGAGACAGAAAAAGGGAGAAGGGGCTTCCGAAGGGATACAGAAAGATAGACTAGGGGGCCGGAAAGAGAAGAGAAGGGACGAGACGAGTGGAGAATGGAGAGGAAAGGCGTATCATTATCTATTAACGACAGTTTCCCTGTTCCTATTCTAACCGCGCGACCCTCATTTCGATTCTGAGGGCCATCGAAACGAGTGGGATGTACTAACGACACTATCTAAAGTAAAAGGAGTAATAATGGAAAGGGAGCCTTCCATTCATGGATAAGAGGTTCGTTTGCGCAGATAGACGCGGGCATAAGAAGGAATGTATGAGTGTGTGTGAGAGAGAGCCAGCCAGCAAACGAATGAAACCGTACCCGAGGCGAGTTCCAATTGTGATACTCATGCTGGGAGGCTTTGGAAGAAAAACGTTGGGAAAGGCAACGACTGGGTAGAATTCATGGGAGAGCGAGGAGCTGAGGGAGTGAGTGAATGAATGATTGGATGGATCGTTGACTTGACTAAAGGAATATCGGTGGCTGCGGTGCTGATATAACAACGACAGGTTGAAAAATGGACTGTTTCCCGGAAATCCAGAAGGCTGTGGATGGAGTTCATGCTGGTGCTGTGTATCCCCCAAGATGACATCGTCGATAACGAAGAACTGCAGGAGACGAATGAAATGATCGGTAAAGACTGGTGGGAGATCGTTCTGGCTTGGGCGGTGGGGGCATTGTGTTGATACTGGGTTTGTGGTCGTCGAATATTGTCCAATGAGCGGAAGCCGAGTAGTGCAGAAAAGCGAATGTGTCTTGATTTGACGAGTTAGCCTAAGATTTCTCGCAAGGCAAGCCGAAAATTGCATCAATGGGAGGCTAGGAGGTCGGAATGACAGGACCGAAAAAGGGGCCAACGAGGCTGAGAGCCCGCAAGGCTCTGCTTTAAACTTCGGCTCTCGAAGCCTCGGCAGCCCCGTACTTCCTACTTGGTAGGAAATCCAGCGTCGCTCTGAATTCAAGCATCAGTGCAACCGGCACACTTATGGTGTCCACATATAGTGCATCTGTCCGAAGCCAGCGCTGCATTGTTGAGGTTGCCGCAACTGTCGCAATACCAAAAGGATGCCCGGGCTGCTTGATGTCTGAGGCGCAGGTTTCTCCTGCTTGACAGTGGAGCGGCATGATGAATCGAGTGGACGGCCTCAGAAAACATCTGAAATGGAGCATGGACTCGAGCGCCGTAGGAGGAATTTGGCTGATATTGGCTGCCATGATGGTAGGGAGGGGCGGCCGTTGTAGTCCCGGGAGGGTCAATATCACCGTCTGTCTTGCATAGACTGCAGCGTTCATGACCACAAACGCATTTTGGATGATTGGCCACTTTCATGGGGCGCTCATTGCAGCGACAACATTGCCACAACGTCGGTTGGCTCATGTTCGCGGCTTATGTCGGAAGTGATAGCAGGTTGAGATAGAGGAAGCGAATGGATTGGCAACTAGGAGCCTATGATCTCCGTGAAGGTGGCAAACGGTGACCAGCGGCTGAATAGGAGACCGGTGTTTTGCAAAGAGAGCTGCGGAGAAATAGACCTTTCTTCGAAGCGGTGGGATTCGGAAGGAGCGGTGTCGAAAAGGCCGAAGAATGAATGGACAGAAGGAGAGGAAGAATGGTTGGTCTGAAACAGTTGCAAGTGTAGATGATGAAGAGATAATGGACATGACATACCTTTAACAGGAGTTCCGAAGTATTCTTATACTTCACTGGACGTGTGTAAGATGGTTTGAGACAATGTGGCTAACAGGCCAATTTCGCCTTGGTGAAGCGTGGTAGTTTTGCACGAGCGGACAATTCTACCAAGCTGCCGTGCAGTATTACTGCTCCGTCCAAAGTTCATGGTATCAGCCCCTTTCGCCAGAAGCCGCCTGCTCGCCTATCGACGCGGAGGTGATCGTGCTTTGATGAACAAAACAACCCATCCAGTCGAATTCAGGTGAAGTTTTTCCTTGATTGGTACATATCCCGTCTGCTCTCTTCAGTATCTTGGGCATGTCAAGGCAAGAAAATTGTCTGCGCCACCTCTAGATCGGTACATGATGCTCGATTCCTTGCTTTTGCAACTCCGATACCCATAAGCACGCCTTGTCTCAGACGAGGCTGCCTTGATCAGGGGAGGGGGGAGGGGGAACATCAAATCTACCTTGCAGTGGCTGTGGTAGGCGTCGGAAAATCAGCATGGCATTCGTTCCTTTGACAAGAGCAGCCAGGCGGTTTCGAGTGATTTGTGCAGCATCGTGGTCCTTTATCCACACATCCGAAGTTGGAAAGCCTTGCCCAGATGTGCCGAAGTGTAGATTGCCGAAGAGGATCAGGATCACTGTGCACGCTGTCCGTCAAATGTACACCCCATGACGCCCACCTGGTCGGGGACAAATAACCCTAGTGGTATAAGGAACAAAGAAGGGCCTCTTTTTGCTTCAAGTGCGTGACAGCCTTGCAGCTCCTCCTGCACGCGTGACTTGGCATGAGACCGAGAAGGCGGTCATCGTCCGAGGCGGAGGGAGGGCTTACAGTGGCTATCCGAGGCAGTCGGACGTCATTGCGGGAAATTGACGAGCGGATATGCTCTGCATGAGCCATCCCGGATACTGAGGACCTGGCTGATTGATGGCAAGCGAGAGGCAAGCTCGTGCAAGAAGGGTTGAAATTCTGGATTGCGGGCTCTTGCATGAGTCCAGCGCCCGACTCTAGTTCGTTCGCAGAACTTCCGATCAAAAGCGTCCAGAGTGAGAGTGACAATGGGTCATGTGTCGACAGACGGGGCCTGGGCAATCGTCCTTCGGCCACAGAGCTCGATGTCAGCAGGAAAATTGTTGTAGTTTCGCCAACCGCTTGAAACTTGGGTGACGAGGCCAGCATCGGCTTCTCAAGCTCCAAACAGGGACCCATCCGAGCTCGCACGAATTTTGCATCCTTCCGGCAACAGCAGTGACACAAAGTCCTCGGCAGCGGGATCTCGGAAGAGATGGAGGTCTTCTCGAGGGCGAGTGGGGTGGTTCTGAATATCAGCGCCCGACTTCAGAGAGGACGGAAACGCAGAGCATGCAACATTGCATTTGGCCAGCAGAACGCCCGAAAGATTGGGGGAGAAAAGGCAGGCGCACCCTCCATTTACGACCGAGCCTGAACGGCACCAGCATTGAAGATTGTTGGAAAGATGGCTGGTCACGGGGTCAATTGGACATGGGTAGGAAGGGAAGAATGGTCCAAGACGGTCCCAGCGGTAAGGACTGAGGGATGGCGCGACAGACGCGGTGGTAACCTGGAAATTAGATTGGGCAGCAGTCCTTTGATCGACGTACATTTGGTAGCAAAAGGTAACTTTGCGGTCAGATTGATTGGGTAGAAAGGGTAGTACTGTCCCAGTTTCAACAAGGCAACGACTTTTTGGGACGGTTGTCGGTGATGCCTGATATAGGTACTGACTCGGGTGACGGAAGAGGAGGAAGGGCGAGATTGGCGAGAGGATGAGTCAGTTGTCATGGACAGAGTTGGGGAGAAGGATAAAAGAGGGAGAGAAGCAGAGGGACCAGAGTATGAGAGGAGGCTGATGCGGAGGGAGAGCGTGGAGAGAGGTGTTACGGCATGTGTGGGTAAGTGATTGAGTGAATAATGAATGTGAGAGGTACTAAGAGGTACGACTCCTTACGACTTGGGAGGAGATGCCTCACTGTGCTGCTTGGGCAGATGCGATGGCGATGGCGACAGCGGCGGATGCAATGTGGATATTTCCATGACGTCGGGCCCCAAGCTTAGTAGTAATTTCGTTTTCACTTTCACTTTCGGCTCACTTCACTTCACCGGCTGGCGACTGGCTGCACCTCCACAAACACCATAATAATTCATTCGCCCTCACACGCTGCACTTTCTGTGTACTGTTTGTTCTCTATCTCAAATCACCGGCCGTTCACGCACGACGACCAGACCACTTGATTCCCATCTCGAATGCTTGGTGCTCCCTGCGCCCTGCTCCCTACCACCGCGCTTTCACACCCGACCGCTCCCACCTGTGTGCCGTCCGCCACGACCCCCCTCTCGGTCCAACCCTGATTCATCGATTCATCATTTCCGTTGGCCCCCAAGGATTGCTAGCCCTTGCCCGTCTTCACCACTCACCGTCTGCCCCTCCAACAGACATCCTCACTGTGCTTGGACGAATTCATCCCTTTGCTGTCCAGCCCTGGCGTCACGCTCCTCGACCTTGTTGCAAAAAGCCCCTGACATATGAAACCTTGCTGACCCTGAGCCTGAGCCTGTTCTGAGTTCAGCCCTTCATATTACAATCCATCCCCGAAGTCGTCACAGTTATTCGGGCAGCAGCCTGCACGTTGGCTTTGGTCGTCAACGTCCGATGCCTGGGAGACAGATTCTCTGCAACAGCAGCCAGCCGACACCTGTACAATGACCGAAAACCGCTATCGTGCCAGCTCGCCTCCGAGGCATCGCTATGCCGACCCTCGAGCATCCACAGGCATGGTCATATCCTCCTCCTTCGACCCTCGATATTCCTCTTCCTCCCAGCCTCGCAGCTTCATCGACACCTTCCCTGCCACGCGACACGGAAGTGTATACACTACTCAACCTATCGCAAGGAAAACCATCCTCGACGATCCTCATTCGGGCGGAGGGTCAATAGTGAGAACAGAATATGCCGTGCGTCCAAGAAATAATTCCACACTCGAGACTCGCAGGCCAGTGAGCACCTTCATGGAGCGTCGCTCTTCTCCGCCTCGAGTACGCCCTGCCATCATCAGTGGTTCCTCTCGTGACGATCCAAGAAGCCCGGTGCTGGCCTCTGCGGGGGATCGATATCTTGTTCCTGCTGCGTCAAGCGGTCGAAATCATCACCGCCATTCGAGCGCAACTCGTGCTGAACAGGACCGTCTACAGCCCGCAAGAGTCAGCCGACAACCTGAATACCACCGCCGCGGTGGCTACAATGCATATCCCTACTCTGCGACCCGTGGTCCCCTGCAGGATGAAGGCTTCTCGTATACAACTCCAAAGGAGCAGTTTTTACAGGAGTCATCCCGACCTCCTCAGAGGCGGGAGAGCTACAGCAGACGAGAACGTCCCGTAAGTATAGCTGGGTTGCCTGAGTACAGGCTGCCTGCAAGGAGAGATACGCGAGACGCCCCTCCCCCCTCGTCCGCACGCGTGCTGGATAGAATCGAGAGGAACGAACCTCCCCGATATGCGGGCGGTCGGACAAGCGACACGGAAGATCGAGGAGATATCCCCCGACGCCGCCACTCCACGAGAGCCCCCGTTTTACATCACTATCCGGATGACGGCTCCGTGTCTGCGCGTGAAGAACGAGACCTTCGACCCTTGCCTAGACCCCGTCATGACCGTCTAGAGGACGATGACAAACCTCCCAGGCGCAGGCATCGTGATGAGCGTGAAAGAGAGGTATTGCGCGAGCTCCCACGCGAGCCGGAACGGGTTCGTGAGCGTGATCGCGACAGGGACCGCGAGAGGGACAAGGATAGAGATCGGGATAGGGACCGGGATCGGGACCGCGATAGAGACAGAGACAGGGATAGGTACAGAGAGGTTGACAAGCCCGGCAAGCCCCGAAGTCGAGACAGCAGCCCAGAACATTCAGGACTACGTAAAGGGCTTGCCGCAGCTGCTGGCCTAGGCGCGGTGGGCGCTGCTGCTGGCGCCGCTATTAAGAGTACCCGCAACAAGGACGACGAAGAGTCAGAAACTGATGATCGCAAAGAGCGAAAGCATCGAAGAAGACGGCATCACGCCAGCGACGAACCAAGTCCAGATGAACTTGCTGGTCGTGTTGAGCGTGATCTCAAATTGACCAACGGAGACCGGGATCTGCGTCGACGAGACGAGGACCGAGTCGATGACATGGATGATCATGACGACCGCCACGAAAAAAGAAGACACCATCGCCACAGGAAGCACCGGGACCGAGCGGACCGCGGGACCGAGTCAGACACCACTGAGGATTATGAGGGCAACGACACCCGGCAACGACGCCCCCGAGACCGAGCACCTTCTCGCGACGCAAGTCAGGATGTGCCAACAAATCTGGAACAACGTACCATTTCCCCAGGTGAAGATGAAGATGACCGTCCTCGAAAGGTGCAATTAGTCGAACCGGCTGAAAAGAAAGAGGAGTTCAAACCGAAGGGCATCCTCAAGCCGCCGCGAGAAACGCCTTTCCCTGAAGATCCCAATCCCACACGAGAAG